CTCATCTTCCCGTCGCCCCTCCCCCTTGGTTATACCCCATTGGTCGGGGTCCTGTTCCTCCCCTCCCTTTTCCCCAGGTTTAAACCCTCCCACTATTTTCTGTTCGCTCTCTTTTTCTCCTTCTCCCACCTGGAAGCTACAATAAGCAGTGGGACCATTTCCCATGGGAGAAAGAGCCTCCTTTGGTCTTTTGTCTTTGTCGACATTTCTCCATCTCCTGTGGTCCAGAGCTAGCCTAGAGGATCCAGTGAGAAGGGAAAACCAACAACTGGTGCCCAACGTGGGGCTCCTGCGAGGTCAGAGACCCACACAACAGCTGAGATCCAGGTGTGGATTATACGAGCCCTTGGACTACCAAGGTAAGTATCTTGGAGGCAAAAGGCTGCTTTTTGTGCAGCAATGCTTACGAAAACGGGACCAGTAGACTGTCTTTAGCCCAAAGGCGGGTCGGCCCCGGACAAAGGACTTTCCTTGCAGCCAGACGAAGAGGCGGGTGAGTACCCCTTCCGAGTGTTAGTGGGGACACCGGGGTAGCCCCCAGTCTCAGAGGGGGTGGGTTCCTGCAGGGGGAACAGGGGCACAGCGAGAGCAGCGGGCGCAGCAGTTCGGTGCCAGGAGCAGGGCTAGCAGCATGCTTTCGGTGCGGTGGCAAGCAGTGCGAGCAGCACGAAGCACCAGCACCACCAGCCGCAGCAGAGGCATAGTGGTGCAGCGCCTGCAGAGTGGCATTGCCGGTGGCAGTTTGAAAGCTGCACAGTGTGTCAGTGCACAATCCTACTCACACACAGAGTCACGCACGGAGGACAAGACACCAGACCAGGTGATCAGGGGTGTCAGGGGCTCTACGCTCTGAGGGATAAAACTGAACCTCCAAATCAGCCCCTGGTAAACTTAGATTTTGGCCCTCAGAGCAAAGTTTATGAGTTTTCAGTAGACCAAGTTTCAAAGAAATACTGGAAGGGTGTAAATTGAGTGATTGCAAATGTAAAGTAAAAGGTGCTGAGCATAATCCCTTTGAAATATCCATTATAGAAAGGGTGCAAATAAAAGGGAACTTTAGAGAAAGGTATGCAGACCTGTTGCACATGCCAGGGCTAGATAGCAATCTTTTAGGCCGAGATTTACAAGTGCAATTGAATATAGGTGTGGTGCCAGAAGGAGGGTGTATAGCAAATAAAATAATGATGTTAAAAGAGGAAGATGAAAAAAGTATAGATCCAAGAGTGTGGGCAGAAGAGGGAGGCCATGAATTGTTGAATATTCCTCCCATAAGAATTACAATGAAACCCGATATACCACCAATAAGGGTCAGGAATACCCTATTTCTGCAGAGGGAAAACAAGGGTTAGCAACAGTAATTAAAAGTTTAATTGAAGATGGAATTTTTAAACCATGTATGTCTCCACACAACACCCCAATATTGCCAGTAAAAAAACCCAAATGGTACGTATAGACTGGTACAAGACTTGAGAGAAGTAAATAAACTACCACTTGCTATCCAGTGGTAGCCAACCCATATAATCTGTTGAGCAAAGTATCATCAAAGCATGCATGGTTCAGTGTAATTGATTTGAATGATGCTTTCTGGTCTGCCCTTTGGAAAAGTAGAGGGTGGTTTGCCTTTAAATGGCAAGATAAAGACACTGGGGAAAAGCAACAATTACAATGGACCAGATAACCACAAGGGTTTACAGAATCACTTAATTTATTTAGCCAAGCCCTAGAAGACCTAATAAAGCAATTTGCACCAAGTGGAGAAACACAGGTTGTGCAACATGTGGATGATTTATTAGTCTCAGGAGAATTGGAAGATGTCCAAAAGACCACAGTCAAATTACTGAACTTCTTAGGGGATAAGGGCCTAAAGGCATCCAAAAAGAAACTACAATCTGTGGAACCAGAAGTGAGATATTTAGGACATCTAATTGGAAAAGGATACAAAAAGTTAGACCCAAATAGAGTGCAAAGGATATTATCATTGCTAGCACCAAAAACCAAAATAGACGTAAGGAAATTATTAGGGTTAATTGGCTACTGTAAATTATGGTTAGATGGTCATATGAAATTAGTTAAATTTTTATATGACAAGTTAATGAAAGATGAACCCGTAGATTGGGATGAAAAAGATGAAAGAAAACTGACTGAACTGAAAGAAAAATTAACAACTGTTCCAGTATTATGTTTACCTGATTTGGATTGGTTATTTGAACTGTTAATGTTGAAAAAGGAGTAGCTTATGGAGTTATTGTACAGGAGCGGTGTGGAGATGGGAAACCTATAATCCATGTGTCCAAACTATTAGATGCAGTCATCAGGGGATGGCCAACTTGTCTCCAGGCAGTAGCAGCCCCAGTAACCTTAGCAGAAGAAGGTTACAAGTTGACCTTTAGAAAAAAAATCAAAGTGTATACTCCACGTGACCTTAAAAGCATAATGAATAAAAGAGCCAGCCAATGGATCTCAGATAGTAGACTCTTAAAATATGAACTGATTTTGAATAACAGTGAAAATTTGAATTTGGCCACCACAAGAGCCAAAAATCCAGCACAATTCTTACATGGTGAACCAGAAGAGGAATTAGAACACTGGTGTCTGGAAACCATAGATTTACAATCAAAAGTTAGAGAAGACCTTTTGGAACACCCATTAAGTGGAGTGGAGATTGTCTTTATAGATGGCTCATCAAGGGTCATAGATGGAAAAAGAGTATCAGGGTATGCAACTGTTGACGGACAAAATATGACTATACTAGAAAAAGGAAACTTCCTGCTAGTTGGTCTGCACAATGTTGTGAGATCTATGCTCTATTAAAATGGCCAAACTACAAAAGAGGAACTATTTATACAAACTCAAAATATGCTTACGGAGTTGTACACACATTTGGAAAAATTTGGACTGAAAGAGGATTTATTAATTCAAAAGAAAAACCATTGATCCATGAAGGTCTAATTAAAGTGGTGCTGGAGGCTTTAAGAGGCCCCTTGGAAATAGCAGTGGTACATGTAAAAGGACACCAAAAAGGGAACTCAAAGGAAATAAAAGGGAATAACCTAGCAGACCAGATAGCCAAGAAGGCTGCTATGGAAGACACAGAGAAGGTCCTTCAGTTAAAAGAAGTGAAAAACAAAGATGATAGAGACAAAGGAGATGAGGATATACCAGTATTTAGTGAAAAAGAGCAAGAAAAATTACAAAAACATGGTGCTATTAAAAATAGCAAGGGAGAATGGAAAATGGCCGATGAAAGACAAATACTAAATAAAGCATTGACAAGAAAAATATTAGAAAATCTACACACCTCAACTCATTGGGGAGCTAAGGCTTGTATGATCATTTCATGAGAACATACGTGTGTACTGGAATATTTGAAATTGCTAAAACTGTAACACAGGACTGCATGATTTGTCAAAGAATAAATAATAAAATAATGCAACGACTGCCCCAAGGAGGAAGAGAATTAAGCCAAATCAAAGTTTTAGAGGGGGAGTTGTTATCAATGAGTTGACATTTGGGCATGGAGTTATAAGTTATTGGTTCATATAGTGAAGTTATGTATGAATTGTTAATGAATTTTTACGTGCTGTGGATGTGTGGCCATTAGGGGAGTTGATGAGGGTTCGCTGGTGGAGTGAGGGGAATTTTCTGGAGTATTGCCTCATGGGGTGATGACAGTGGTTTGAACTGTGGTTGGAGAATGAGCTGGCCTATGGGTCGGAATATTCCGGAATGATTGGTCAAGACTGCACCCCAATATGGGCCGACCAGCAGCCAGAAAAAGGACCAGTCAAAACGAGGACTGAGAAGCACACTAACCAGGAAGCACCAGACTTTAAAACCCCCGGTGCCCAGCACGTAGGTCCTTCCACGGAACTCGGGATCCGCAGAAGCGCACTGTGCAGTGCACAGTATTTGTCTGGCTGGCTTGTCGAGTGGGGCCCGGGCTTATCCTGGGTTCCTGCCCTCGGTGCTTGTTTTTGTTTTTTTAATAAAATGAAGTGGATGTTCTCAGAAAGTCTGGACCTCGGTTATTACAACAATGACCTGGCTATATGGTAAACTATATTAAAACAGCATCTGCAATATTTACTTTTATATCCACTACAAAATATTTTGGAAAAAAAAAAAGCCAAAGCTTCACATCTGATAACCCAAAATGCCAGAAAAAAATAAATGATGTAATGAAAGCAGAATGTAGAGATATATATTAAAATACTGTTTGTTCGACAAATCCAATCCTTCAGATTAGGTTTGGCTTAAGAATCTGAGTTTGAAATGCTCTGTAAGTGGTGAGTCTTAAAGAGTAGTAAGCTCTTCCAGGCCTAGATGCATTTAAGCAAATAGAGGTTTAAGTTTGATGTTTAACCTGCGTCTTGTTCCCTTCTCCATTGTAAAATAAAAGGTTTTTTTCAACTTCCATAATAAAAAAATGTGTCCTTGAGCTGAGCTCTGTTGTAGTGGCGAGGAGGGGGCCCCGCTGCCCCTCGAGGTGGCCACTACTTGGAGAGAAGAGTGTTTTTCATTTGACTTAAGCTCTTGCCTGGAGAGCTCAACTGCCTTTTTAAAGCACACTCAGCTAGGCTTAAAACCTTCTTCTTGCACTTCCATCGCTAAAGCCAACCTTGGGAGCTGCTAGGAGACCAAAAGCCAAAACCGGTGCTGGGCCACCGACCCAAAGCGCCGAGTCCAGCGGGACCCCACAGAGCAGATGGCGACACTGGTGGGCTCCCGACGTCAAACGCTGAAAACGCCACCAGAGCTCCTTCCCCGCTCCGAAGAGCCAGAACTGCTTCTGTCGGCCACCCTCAGGAGCAGGAGCCACCGGGGTGTGCGAAGCCACCTCAGCCCGTCCTGCAAACCACAGCCCCACCGGCGGTCCATCCACCTCGGGGAATGCGGAGCCGTCTGGGGCCCCGCCTCCCCTTTCCCGCCTCCCCTTTCCCGCCTCCCCTTTCCCGCCACCGCTCGGCAGGGGAGGCGGCCGCCCGAGTCTCGCGAGAACCCGCGCTGCCACCGCCGCCATGGAGCCCCCGGTGCGCGGCCCGCCGGGGCTGACGGCTGTGCTGGCGGTGAGGGGGAGCGGGGCTGCTCGGGGGAGCGGGCCTGTCACAGGGAACGGGCCTGTCAGGCATGCCAGCGGTGAGGGGGAGCGGGGCTGCTCGAGGGAGCGGGGCTGTCAGCCATGCCGGCGGTGAGGCGGAGCGGGACTGTCGGCCGTGCCCGCGGTGAGGGGGAGCGAGGCTACCCGGGGGAGCGGGACTGTCCGCCGGGGATGCCCTGGCTGGGGGCGCCCTGGCTGGGGGCGTGCTGCTTGCCGGGCCTGCTGCGGGGACCGCGGGGCGCGGTCCGTGACCGAGACCGGCTGCATTCGGTCTATGTGGCCGCCCAGTGATGCCTTTCTGCCGCCGCTGCCTGACGCGCTTTCCCTCTGCCCGCAGAGCACGGACTGGTCCGAGCCCTGGCTGCTGGGGCTGGCCGCCTTCCACCTGCTCTGCTTCCTCCTGACGTGCGCGTCCCTGCAGCACCGCCGGCTGCAGGTCGGGCACTTCCTCTGCATGGGTGAGTGCCGGGCACCAGAGCAGTGCCTGCAGCTTCGTGTTTCTCTGCTAGCAGTGCACGGCTGTCGATGGTAATCTATAGAATCTGCTACGACCTGTAAATACGTATTTATTTTATTTCCAAAAAATATATGAACTAGTGACTTAAAGCTCTGGCTTTAATGAGGAAGTGGGATGAGTAAGGTGATTGCTGTGTGTGTCACAGCTTCCAATGAAGTGTTGCTGTGCTGGAGAAGCAGAAAAGAAATCGACTGAGAGCCAGCAGCTGCTTTGTACTCTGCCTTGTTCTAATGGTGCAGTTGAGTGAATACGGTCAGATTTAGTTTTTGAAGTAAGTCGCCATATACCCTGCTGACAGGTGTGGTAATGGCATGAGGAAGAGCGAGATTGGCTTGTACATTGCAGTAACAACTTGTGTTATCTCGGAGTTTATCACCTCAGAGCCCACAGTGACCTTGCCTAGTGAAAGCAGTCATGGCTGACTGCCAGTACACCTACTAGCTTTGGTTTAAAATCATGTGGATTTGGATTAGATGATGTATTATGAGCAGTTTATTTTTAGAGAAATACCGAATCTAATATTTTTCTCTTACTGTATAGTGGGCTTAGTGTACTGCGCTGAATATATCAATGAAGTAGCAGCCATGAATTGGAGGTAAATGTTTTCACTTTCGTTTTTTGAATAAAACTATACAGTACAATGTAGTTATCAAATACTTATAAGAAATAATAATAATAACATGCATTTATTATATGGCTTAAAATCTGCTTATATAGATGCTTGTAAAACTGGTCAAAGAACTGTTAGAAAAGCAGAGTGCTATGGTTATGGGGAAAAGAATGTGAACTTTGATTTTTGGGGGGTTTTTTGTTTGTTGGTTGGTTTCTTGGGTTTTTTTTGTTTGTTCTTTGTTGGATTTTCTTTGCTATTCATGTTTAATAGCTGAAGTTAAGAATCACTTCTCAAAAATACAGCTGCTTCTTTGTATACTTACTTATACGTATAACAAGCATTAACATTTGCGTGTTTTAGTAAACCTGTATACCAGAATTAAACTGATGGTTTATTTTGTTATTTTGAGCACTGAATTAATCTTTCCCTGATAGCACTAAAAGTTAAGTGTTTAACATCACTTTAAGCTGTCATCTAGTTGTAGTCATTATGTTTCACTTCAGGCATATGTGATCTAATTGCAGCTTTGCCACGTTTATTATTTTTGTTATCGTTTCTAATATAAGTAAGCAAAATACCTAAAAAAGTTTCAGATGCTTCAGAATTAGCATGATTTGTGATGCAGTCATGTTAGTTAGCTTTTGCACAGTAAAGCTGTAAAAAAGAGAAAGATTGATATTAATATTCATAACTGAGGAGGTATCAACTGTCTCTTTTTTATGACTTAATGCAGTAGAATGCTGGCCTGTGCTTGGTGATTCCAAGATATGGGATGATGTGTACAGTGTCCTTGTAGAAGACTTGCTGGGAAAGCTGAATGTGTGAAGTACACTAAATAAAGCTTTGTCTCTCATTTTCTTTTCATTTCTTTCAGGCTCTTTTCTAAATACCAGTACTTTGATTCAAGAGGAATGTTTATTTCACTTGTATTTTCAGCGCCACTTCTGGTGAATACTATTATAATTGTGGTATGTATGTGTTCATTAATGTTGTGAATAGCCATAGGTGCTTTCTTTAAATGAGTAGTAAAGGTATATGGATTGGTTGAATTTAATAGTTTATTTGCTTTTCAGGTCACCTGGGTTTACAGAACTTTGAATGTAATGACTGAACTAAAGATGCTACAGCAGAGAAGGAAAGCAGAAAAAGAGAAAAAGAAGTGAAAGCACCAAACACTATTTTTCTTTCTTCAGTTGTAATAATGCCTGTCTGGGTAGTCAGCCCTTCTGTGTGGGTGTGCAGGAACAGAAGTATTTTTGTGTCCCATGTCAAGAGGACTTTGTGATTGTGGCTGTGGACACTGAGGTGAAAGCAGGTATCTACAGTACATTTGAGTTGGCTCTGAAATTATGAAACCCAGTCTTAACAAGTCTTTGTGCCCTTCAGTGTAAGATTGTTTTCATCCATGACCAAGACTGTTAGGATTGATGAGACACAATCTTCCAGTTTCCATTTGCCTGTGTATTTTTTTACTATGTCTTTTATTCTGTGCTTATCAAGTATCAGTTATTCTGCTGCTTAAGCCAATTGGAGCTGTGTTATGAATTACAGTAAATGAGTGCTTTTATTCAGAATAACTCAGGAATCCATGCTTCTGTGAAGCACTTCTCTTCTTTATAAATCAAGTTTCATACTTCCTATGTGTACTGTGTGCCAGTGGCATTTTATAAATAAAACTATCCACTCACTGCATCTTAAATTGAGTTAATTTGTATTCATTTTTAATCAGACACTTCTTTTTTTTCTCATGAAAATTCCCAGTTTGGCAAATTCTAGTTTAATTTGTATAAATAATTCAGAATGATCTCTGCATTTCTTTCAATTTTCTAGATAAATCATTTTTTTAAAAGTGGATGAAAATTTGGTAATTTTACGCTTCTTTGTAGAACAGAAAGGAAGAAGCTTAATAATGTTACAATTTTGTTCCTTTTTTAATACTTATTTAAAATAACTGAAAAATAGGTGAAAATTAAGAAGGCTTTAGTTTTGCTTCAAGCAGCCTGTTTTTATTGAATTAAGGTAATTTGAGAAGGGGTATGGACACAATGAAGACTGTCCATATTTAGTAGAGGTTTTATCTTTGTGTGGAGACATACAGTTGCCTAAAATAGTTGTCATTTAAGACAGGAAAGATGATCTGCAAGACTGATCTTATACTAATGTGAAAAACATTTAGGTACAAAATTGCAGAACACTAATAAGTTTATGAGCTAAGGAAGTATTTGTGAAACTAATTTTAATTACTTGTATAATCTTCCCAAGAGTGGAGATACGGATTTGAGGAAGAGAGCAGGTGCATGTCATACACAGCTGGCAAGTCTCTTAAACAGGGAGAAAGTGAAACGCCTGCTGAAAGGGCAGTGAAGTGTTAGTGTTGGATCCATTTCTTTACCTTTCTCATGCCTCTTTGGCATTCCTTTACCCACTCATTGCTCCATCCAGAACTGCTGTCAGCTAGACTATTTTATATTTGTGAACTAAACAGATGCAGGTTTGTTTGTTTTCCCGTTCTGACCATTCTGCAACTGTTGGTGCAGTGTTGCTTGGTGTCAGCTGTAGGGAGAAATTTCGAGTGGTTTGGTAGATAACATGTGCTTTTTGGGAAGGAGTGAAGAGAGTCTGTCCAAATGACTGCCAGGTGGGCTGTGGCAGCTGTCAGCCATTGCCAAAGAACAGACCTTTTCCATTTCATATATGTAGGATGTTGTCCTTCCAGGCTGGTTTATAAAAGTTCAGTCTCACTCCTACAGTTTGATGTGGAGAGTTGCAATTTTCACACATGGCCCTGCTCGTGACCACTGAAATGTTGTGTTCCTGACTTCCATGTTGATAACTGTTCTGCAACAAATCAATGCACAATTGTTTTAGTGTCACACACTTGGAGCTGTAATACTTCATATGGAGATGCTACCTGTTGTCAAGTAACCTTTGGTTCCACAGTGTGACGTGTATGAATTTCATTCACAGTAAGTGAGGAAGTTCAGAGCAGCTGAGCAACAAGTCTCTTGTATTGGAAAACAATGTGCCGTATTTAGTACATCCAAGGCAAACTTTCTCCAATTAGTTTGCTATTTTGCCTATCTGGTGTGTGAGGTTGGAAAAAAGATGGATAATACTTGGTTTCAAAAGCATGATGGCATTTTTTGTGTTCTAAAAGTTTTGCTATGTGAAAGTATAAACCTCTCCAAATTCAAAAATTTTTTCAGTTTTTTTTTTGAAGGATGAGCATCTCAAAATTGTGAGGTTTAAAAACTTCCCTGATTCCTGGAACTACAATAAGTAAATCCAACAGTTACATGAGATAAATTTTCACAAACACAAAAATGTGGTTTCCATGTATCGCAGAAATGTGGGTTGAAGATCATGTAGTTCTGACCCACCAGCTGTGGTGAGGGATTCCACCCACTAGACTGGGTGGCTCAAGACCCAATCCTACCTGGCCTTGAACACTGCCAGGGTGCAGCACCCACAGCTTCTCTGGGCTACCAGGGCTTCGCCATTTTGTGAGTGAAGATTTTCCTCCTAACAGTTAAGCTAAACCTGTCCTCTTTTAGTTGAAAGCTGATCCCCTCTGTTCCATCACTACATGTCCTCATAGAAAGCCGCCCTCCCTCTTTTTTGTAAGCACTCTTTTGAGTACTGAAAAACTGCAACCAGGTCTCCTTGGAGCCTTCTCCATGTTGAACATCTCTGATACCCCTTCCTTCTTTGTGTCCACCTGCACCACTCAGCTTTATGTCTTCTGCAAACTTGATGAGGGTGCACTGGATCTCACCAGTTATTATAAAGGTGTTATTGATAAAGGCATTAAAGGGCACCAATGCCAAAACCAGGGCTCTGGCCTCCACTGGGTGTAAACAACTGACTACAATTCTCTGCTTGTGTCCATCCAGCCAATTTCTTACCCACAGAATAGTCTGCAGTTCATGTCTCTCCAGTTCAGTGATGACAATGTGTGGGACTGTGTCACAGGCCTTGCAGAAGTCTGTGTAGATTACATCTGTTGGTCTTCCCCTGTTGACTGTTGCAGTCACTCCATCATAAAAGGCCATTGGGTGGGTCAGACAGGATTTGCCCTTAGTGAAGTATTTTTGGCTGTCTTGGATGCCTTTCTTGTATTGCATGGGCGTGTGTGCTTGTCAGAAAGATATTCCAATTTCCTACATTTCAGAAAGATTCAAATTTATCTGTGATCTTCTCTAGGTAAACTTGCCTAAGAAACACTTAAGTTTAAGGGCAAAGTTGTTTGTTGGTTTGCTTTGATTTTTTTTTTTATAAAGCAGGTATCATAATCCATAAGAGAGACCCTCAGTAAGTGAAGCATGACTTCTTTTCATCATGAATCTGGATTTATGATGTGATAGTGCAATAACATTAAATACAGGCCTACTTGCTGACATACTAAAATAATCAGATCATGAATTTAGAGGTTGTTCCACCTACTTAAAATTTGTATATACAAGTGAAGGAGAGCCACATGTTTAAGACTGGTGGAATATCTTTGCTTTTGGTTGGGGAACTTGAATTTAGGTTGCTTGTGAAAGAGCTAGTTTATTTCATTTTCAAACATGCATACAGAAAACTGGTAGCTGCTCAACTGGATCGTTTGGAGAGTGAGACGAGACAGAGGCAATTTGTTACTGGTCTGTGTATCTTGAAGGCAGTGACTCAAATCTTCAGCCTACCTTAATGTGTCTTTCCATGACAGTACACGGCGTCAGCTTAATATTATATTTTTACAAAAATACTACAAGGGAGAAAGTAATATTAGCCTGGCAACTTTATCACAGTAGAAGGTAGTTCTGTTGCACTGTGAAATAATGATAATCTATAAAAAGACAGATTATCAGAAATTAATTGGCAAACTTGCTGGAGTTTGAGGTTGGCCTTGTTTCCTATGAAAAAGTAATAACTGAGATGAGTTTCCAAAAATGAGAGCCCAGAATGCTCTCATATGCTTTTCCCATATCCACTGAAATACCATATTCTTAACGTAGTGTGTCTTTTCACCTTTTTAGTTTAATGAATCTCACGATTCTAGACAAAATAGAACAGATGCAATAAGGGATTTTAAATGTCACTTCCTCACCAACAGTGTTTCCTAGCTTAGCGGATCCTTTGATCTCCACTAAAAATCCCACCTATCTCCAAAAGGTACAGAAGGACAATGAATTGAGGTCTTTTACATCCTTGAGTGTATTCTCAAAGAGCATCCTTGAGTGTATAAATAAAGGACTTTGAGGGACAGTGGTTTTCAACAGCTGGGTCTTGAAAGGAGGGATCTACTCCAGAAAAGCTGTGTTTGAGTTAGACGGTGATCTCCTGTGGCTGTGAATCCGAAATGTAGCAAGAGTTTATAAAGAATTGTTTTGTGGATGTTGAGAATCGTAAGTTCAGATCTTGAGCTCTATTTTTATAGGAACCGAGATTTTCAGGAAAAAGAGGAGTAGTGATTCTTTGTCTGAACAAGATAGAAAAGAATACAGCTGTAGTGTAGAAAATGTTCAATTTCTTCAAATACAGCTAAACATTTTTTGCTTACTTTTATTTTGATTAAACCTTCCGGATGCAATCCTGTAAAATGTGCTCTAGGATGACGCTGCTTGAGCAAGGAGTTTAGACAAGGTGACTCGCTGTGGTTCCTTCCAATGTGACCCATTCAGTGATTCTGTAATTTTTCACTTCAGGTGAACACACCATTTTTATAATTAATATATCAAAGTATGGGGTTTATTTGTTGTTTAGGGAACACAAACACTGTGTATATTTCTCTATTGCAATATTTTTTTAATATTTAAAAATACGTTTGAAATATTTTAATGTGTTTCAACTAAATACAAATGTTAATGTTTTTCTGTCCGTCGGGGAAGAGATCACTGCAGGTAACCAAATTCTCCACTGGATGTCAGTAGCTCACACACAAAACCTGACTCAAAGCTTTCCTTTTGAGAGGGTTCTGTAGAGCTTTTCATCACAGCTTCAGAAATTCTGCAGCATTTTGGAATGACCAGGAAGCCTTGGACTGTGGCCGCTGAAAGCATAAACTGAGCTCCTTGAGCCACTTTCAGGTGTTTATTGGCACTCTTGCTTTTTACATTAAAAAGGGGCAATGATGAGGTACATGTATATTTCAGGAAGTATGTATGTGTTTTGAAATTTCTTAATGTATCAAGGGAATAAATACCCTGTTCACTCATGCTATATTTCATGAGGAAGATTCTGTCTTCAAGCAGTTAAAAAGTAATATAACAACAAAAAATAATTACATTATTGTGTGACCAATGTGCAGGAAAGTTTACTGAAGCAGTCTAGTTCAAGAACTGACAGAGCATATGCATGTCCTCTATTTCTTTGTGATTTACCATTGCATAATGCAGTATTATCACATCTGTCCTTGTTATGTGATAGCTGGCAGTCACTTACAGTTATGACTGAGATTCTCAGAAGTCACTTCAGACTTTCTCCACCACCTGGCAAACAATGTTTTGGAGTGTTCAGAGGTTTTATGACTTCATTTTAGGTCTATGTGCAGTGTTCTCTGCTTGATGTTCTACTTTGTGTACCAGGTTTTGAGCCTGGTTTTATTTATCTTTGGAATTCATCTATTTTCCACACTCCACCTCTTGAAGAATATAGGCCTACAGTTTGAATGGACTTTGTCCCACTTCCCGTGAGTTACATGCATTCACGTTCACATAA